CCTATGCTGTGCAAGGTGTCATGCCAGACAGGGAAGCCATCGGTAACCCAAGACTGGAAGCGACCAACCAGAGGCCACATGTCATCCTTCCAAGTTCTGTCCTAGCACAGCGTTTCTGCTCCAAGGGCAGCAGCAAAAATGTGAACAAAGGCTGCCTGGGTGTGCAGCCTAATTCCAGCACCCCACCTCCCGTCCCCACTACTGTGGTGCTCCCCCGTCCCTCCCCACCGGGTCCGAGGCAAAGCAGGGTCCAGGAATGAGTCCCTGCAGAGAGCACTGGTGGCTTAGCCGCACTGCCCTCAGGGCCCTGCGCTGGATCCCACTGGGAAAGAGGAAGAGACGAAGGGGCAGGAACATGAGAAAACCTCAAAGTGTGAGACCGTCTAGTTCTCTCAACAGCCCCCTCCACTCTACTTCTTCCCCTTCCTGTGTCCTCTTTGAGGCTGAGAAGATCATATTCGATTAACATTCACCGAAGAGTCCACGGGGTGAAGACTGGATGCCACATAATTTTACAGACAAGAACTTGGACATTGGCTTTGCACATGCTGTTCTCTCTGCCTGGAACCTGCTTCCTCTCCTTCCACATGGTAACAGCTTCAATGTTGTCTCCTCAGAAAACTGCCTGCCTGGGCAGGAATGCCCTGATGTTCCCTCAGGGGGCCCACAACAAGTGTCATTGCTCCTGTGTCTGTGGTCTCTCTCCCCGCGGGACTCAGCTCTGCGAGGGCTGCTCCCTGCACTGTCCAACACAAAGACAAGGCTGACATCTCTTCTTCTTTTTTTTTTTTCAGATAGGTTTTTTCTTAAGTAGACTCCACACCAAATGCGGGGCTTGAACTCAAGACCCCGAGATCAAGAAGCATATATATGTTCTACCAACTGAGCCAGCCGGGCGCCGCAGCCACGCTTCTGTCTTAAATACACTGAAAGGCCTGCAGTGGAACAGTAAAAGGCAGCGTTCTCCGAGCATGTGCCAAGTGCTGTGCTGAGCTCCACAAGGATGTGAGGTCACCACGGATGAGTGATGGCCACACTATTATTATTCCCATTTTACAGACGTAGGAAATTGCATCATTTCCCCCCTCTTTTTAAAGAATGGAAACTAGAACCCAGCAAGCAACTTGCCCAAGGCCACAGGGCTAAAAAGAGAGTGAGGATTTAAATGTTTCCCGATTCTCTCTCTCTCTCCAGGCCACCAGGACGGGTGGACCCCTTATCTTGGGTTGACCCCCTATCTTCCACTCTCCCCAGGGCCTGAAGGTGTGTTTCTTTCTCCTGCTGCCAGTGACCCTTTGTCCCCTTCCTGAATTCTCAGCCTCCTCTCCCGATTCAGCAATCTTCCGACTCCTCCCCTTCTGTCCTGCAGCCCGAGCTCCCACACCTGATCTGGATATCTCAAGCAAGGACCCCTCGTCTTTCAGCCCTGAAGCCAGCGCCTGGAGCAGCTGTACAAACGACGCCCGTGGACACCCAGCAAAGCAGGCCTGGAGAGCAGGCAGCTCCCCAGGGAACTCACAGGTGGGATCTGTGGTTAAACCCAGATTCCCAGGCTCCAGCTCCTGCTCTGTCTCTACTCCCCTCTGCTTGTATTTACAGCGCTGCTGAGTGTGGGGGCCAGTGCGGGACGCAGGGCCACCACAGCTCTCAACAGGGCAAGGCAGCCCCCACTCATGCCCGATCTACGATCCAATGCACTGGAAGTCGGCAAGGTCCCACAGGACCCAGGATGGCCAGGAAGAAGGCGGGTCCCGTTCAGTGGAGCCAACTTCACAGCCAGCCCCAGAAGCCAGTTCAAGGGCAGAACCCGCAACAAGGACCACGGTGGGCTCCAGAGGCCGGTCCTGGGTCACACAGGGTGGTCAAAACCAGAAGCTGCTGGAAGAAGAAAAGGAAAAGGCAACAGGGCCTAAAAAATATGGCTGTGGGAAAAGCATCTTGAGGGAGAGCAAAAAGGAGAGGGAGGAGAGAGGCCTCTGCACAAATATGCAAAGGAGAGGAGATGGTAATGCTGTCCCATATGCCTGTGAAACATGGCTGACGACCTCAATTCCATTTTGAAACCTTCAGGGGCTCCCTGCTGACCACGCTGGGGTCAAATTCGAAGTCCTTAGCGAGGCTTTCAAAGATCTTCACGCCTGGGGCCCACTGCACCCAGGTCTGGGAGGAGAGGTATCCCAGGCCTCCAGAGCCCTGCCCAGGGTTTCTCATCCTTCCCAGCATAGGGTACTTCGCTCCTAGGAAGAACTTCCAGCCCACCTGGGGTGAGTGGGGAGGGGGGGCACGGGCTCTGGGGTCAGACCCTCTGATTCAGAGCTCAACTCCACCAACTGCCTCCACTTGAGCCTGCTAGGCTGGCTGCAAAGCAGGAAGGTAAGGATTCCCACCTCATCAGGTGGTGGGGGGTGAAACACAGTCATTCATCAGAGCACTGTGAGCTGTGCCTGGCACACAGTAAGTGCTTAATAAAAAAGCTGTTGTTCCTATTGTCCTCTGCACCCCTGCAGGGCCTCTGTTCCAACCACAAGTAGAGCACTGTCTTGCCCATAGTCAGTACACACTGGACTCCCCCAGCCAACCACGGCCTTTTAGAAGGCAGCACCACCCGCCACTCAGGACCCGGTCCCCTTAGGCCTAGCATGGAGCCTGGCACACAGTAGGACCAGCAAGTCACACAGAGCTCTCCCAGGGCCCAGCTGCTGGCCTTCCACAACTCGCACACCAATTCCCCAGGCTAAAGGCCCCGCAGAGTGAGAAGGGCATCGGCTGTTACTGGGTTTCAAAACAATGAAGGGCTGCGCTCTCTGCCCTACTGAGGCTGTTTCCACTCTGGGGAATCTACGGGGTGAAATGAGCACAGCAGGGACTAGAAATAGCGCTCAGCCCCTCTCGGGAAGAGCGCTGGGCTGGCCCGCCAGAAGCCAGGAGCAAAACCTCAAAGGCAGAGGGGCAGCAAGCGGCCTCCCCACGGAAGCCGGAGCTTCACAGAACTGGGCCAACAGGAGTGAGGTAAGACCACTCGAGCCCATCCTGCCCTACACGGCTCCTTCCCGCCCATCTGGAGAGCTCCGAAGGGGCTCCTTACCCCACCCCCATGGAGGAGCAACTGAGAACACATCCAGAATTCCAAGGGCTACATAAAGGCACCCCAGGTTGCCTACGGTGGTGGGGGGGGAGGAGGGATGCGGCAAAGGGTTGGGAAGGTAGGAATTCACAGTGCCTTCTCTACCCACACAGGCTCTTGGGCCCTCCTGTCCTGGTCACTGTCTACAGATATCCATACCCTTCTCCCCGGCAGACTGGGAGGCCCTAGACCAGGCACCAGTTCCCATTCATCTTCAGACACCTGTGTCCCTGGCATGGCACCTGGCATGCGGATTGCTCAGTTACAAGGCAGCAAGATCTGGCAGCAAGAGAGGTCCTGGCTTGGGGAAGACTCTATCCCGGCCCTCCATTTGCCACAGACAAGTGAGTCATGTACTCCCCCTGGTCTCAGTTTCCTCAACTGCACACAGGGATGACAACAGCTCTGTACTCACACCGCCACTGAGAAAATTAACTGGGAAAACACGTGTGGTAAGCACCAAAGACAAATGCTCGTCATCCTTCAAGCTTCAGCTCAGCTGTCCCCATGTGTCAGAGTCTCCGCTGCTGGCTGTGTTCCCCCTCTCCCAGCAGTGAACCCACACTGCACTCCCTCTACTGCTTTATATTTTTCACATCGTTGTGATTACTCGTTTCTGCGTGTGATCCCCTCCCCCCACACCCCGATCTGAGAATTCCCGGAAGCCAGGGGCACTGTGAGTTTGTGTCCAAGAGACAAAACGGGCACACAGGTCGTGGTGCTGGGGCCCTCCCACCCCATGGTCCCAGCACTGATACATATAGCACCCTCTGACAGGATGTCCCGAAGTGGGGAGCCGAGGGGGCCCAAGCTTGCTGAAAAGGAACAGTGATGCTGCAGACACAACCTGGGAAGGAAGTCACCCCTCTGAGACCCGGGGCTCCTCTGCTGGCGCAGGTGAGCTCGGTGAGCTTGTTTGCCGGGCTGACTGCGCAGCACACAGGCCTCCAGGGCACAGATTGCTGAGGCTTTCCTTACATAAAGCACCCAGCAGCCAGATAAATAATACATGGCCTTCACCTCACACACAGGTAGCAGGCATGCAAACACTTGCTTTGCGCCATGGTGCCCTGGGCGTGCGGGCACACCCAAGCGTATGTGTATATGATACCTGGCCTGCGTGACCCAGAGAGGCTATGATTTGGGAACAGATACCCAGGACCACTCCCCAAGCCTGCCTTGCCATGGCGGGGAGTGAGCTAGCACCAGAACCAAGCAGTGTGCCCAGAGAGAAAATGTACAACTCCCGGGATGGATACACATACCCTAAACCATCCTCTGTGGTCCCTTTCCAAACAAATGTCCTTTGGAGCCCCACCTTAGTCTCCGTGCCCCTCCAAGCAGCTGACTTGTATGCAAGGCGTGTGCACTCTGCACGCATGCATCCCCAAAGGCCTGGCCAGGCCAACCATCCTCCCAGATCCCAGCCACCCGCACAGGGCACGGATGCCTCCCCCACTCGGTGGTGCCAGGCGCCAGCACACCCACCGGGCTCGCACAATCCCCCTTGCAAAGGGCCTGTCCACCCGCCTTCCCTCTCCCCCGGCCACCCCCACAGGCAGGTCCAATTACACTCTAGGCGAGGGCCTGCCACGTTGGCCAGGAGGGGGCCAAGGCACACCCACGGGCGGCCGCGCGACCCCGCAGGGCAAAGAAGGGGCGCAGGGCGGGACCGGCTGGGAGGCGGACGCCCCCTCCCTCCTCCACCAGGCCGGCCACCTTCGTGCCTTCCCCGCCCGGGGCCCTGCGGCCAACGCGACCCGTGGGGCACCCCCCCTCCGCGCGGGCCTCCCCAAAACGGAGCAGCCCCCCGCCCCCGGAAGCCCGCAGCTGCCCCCCTCAGGGCCTCCGGCGCGAGGCCGGCCGGGCCGGGTACCTCAAGAGCCCATGGCGGCGGCGGTGGTGGCGTGTGCGGACAGCGCGCGGCGGCCGGACTCTACGGACGGGGCGGGCGGGCGGCGCCGCAGCCCCGGTGTTTCGCCGCCGCCGGCGGGTCCCGGGCCCAGCGGAGTGCCGCCGCGGCGCGCCTGCGCACTAAGCACGCCTCCGGGGAGGGCGGGGCGGCGAGCGCGCGGCTGAGATCACCCGCCTAGCCTTAAAGGGGCCGCACCCGAAACCCGCAGCCCGCCGCGAGGTGGTGGGAGCAACCTCGGTTCTCCCGCTGCTCGCTATCAAACCCGCCAGGAGTCGTCGTCGCCCTCGCCTCAATTCGACTCCCCAACCCTACCCACCACGGAGCTTCTGGGGGTGCACGGATCGAGTCCTGGGCTCCAGGGTCTGTCCCCGACACTCGCGAGCTCTCTGGCACTTCACTTTTCTTAACCCTAATTTCCTCCATTTGGGCCTGTTTTGAAGATGGAACAATACATCATAGTTACTTATCGAGTGAAGGATGCATGTGGAGTTGGGAAATTAATATGTACCGAAGCGCTGTATGCAATCACGCGAGGTAAAATTGCAGAGCAGAGAAAGAGACTTCCTTCCCATTCCACTTAGGGGCGCTTCATTCTTGCCCCGCCTGTCTCTAGGCAGCCTAATGAGCAAAAAGTTTTCGGATGTCATTCAAGCTGCCTACTCCACTGCTGTTTGCCAGGTCCACACCTTACCCAGGTTAACTGAAAAACAGAATCCGATCAAGTTCCGGCATTGGTGTCTTCCAGATCCCCAAATTTATTTATATCCCCTGCCCAGACTCCTCCCCTGAATTGTCTACTTAACACCCGCATACTTGAGATCCAGTAGGCATCCAAAGTCAATGTGCCTTCCAAACACATACAAACCTACACCTTCACAGCCTCCCCCAACAGCGGTTGGCAACTCTGTCTTTCCAGTGCCCAGGTCAGAACTCCTGGAGTCATTCCTGAATCCTTCCACCTCCTTACCCACTGAAGCAGAAAATCCCTGGCTCTACCCGCAAAATGTACCTAGACTCTGATCTTTTCCACCCCATCTCCACTGCTAACACCCTCATCCAGCTTCTGCCAAGGATCGCTGCAATATTCTTGTTGTACACTGAATGCATCCCCCCCAAATGCATTTGTTGAAATCCTAGCCCAATATGATGGTATTGGAGGTGGGGACTTTGGGATGTCATTCGGTCATGAGGGTGCAGCTCTCATGAATGGGATTAGTTCCCTTATAAAAAGGATCCCAGAGAGCTGCCTAGCCTTGCTGCCATGTGAGAATAGAAGTGGTTGGCAATCTGTAACCCAGGAGAGGCTTCTTGTAGATCCCAATCACGCTGTCAGGCAACCTGATCTCAGACTTACAACCTCCAGAACTGTGAGAAATAAATTTCTGTTGTTGATAAACCACCCGGTCTATGGTAATCTGTTATACTGACCAAGAGTATCACAACTGTTCGCCTAACCCATTTCCTTTTTCCAAACTTGCCCCGGGCTATGTCAGGATTGGAGCCACAGAAAGTCTTTTATTTTAAAAATTTTTAAAGAAAACAATTTATTTATTGGGGCACCTGGGTGGCTCAGTGGGTTAAGCATCTGCCTTCGGCTCAGATCATGATCCCAGGGTTCTAGGATGGAGTCACACATTGGGCTCCTCACTCAGCTGGGAGTCTGCTTCTCCCTCTGCCTGCCCCTCCTCCAGCTTGTGTGTGTGTGCGCGTGCTCTCTCTCTCTCTCTCTCTCTCTCTCTCTCTCTCTGGCAAATAAATAAAAATAAAAATCTTTAGGGCACCTGGGTGGCTCAGTGGGTTAATCCTCTGTCTTCTGCTCGGGTCATGATCTCAGGGTCCTGGAATCGAGTCCTGCATCGGGCTCTCTGCTCAGCAGGGAGCCTGCTTCCTCTTCTCTCTCTCTGCCTGCCTCTCTACCTACTTGTGATCTCTCTCTGTCAACTAAATAAATAAAATATTTTTAAAAATAAAATAAAATCTTTAAAAAACAAAACAAAACAACAACAACAAAAACCTAAGTCTTGCTTGATTTGGCATTCTACACACCCAGGCGTGTCTGACCTCATCCCCACCTCTCCTTTCCCTCTACCCTGACCTCTTGCTGTTCCTAGAACAAGCCAAGCACCCTCTGCCTCAAATCCTTTGCACTGGCTGTTCCATTTGCTAGGATCACTGTTCCCTTGGATACCTCAATGATCCCTCCCTCATGTTCTTCAAGGATTTGTTCAAATATTCTCACTCAGTGAGGCCTTCCCTGGCCACCCTTAGTAAAATTGCCAAGCCCCTCACATGCACTCCCGAGTCCCCTCTTCCCATGCTCTATTTTCCCCCTGTATCACTTAATCTCTACCATAATACATAGTTTGCCTGTTTTTCTGTCTTCCATCAGTAGAACACAAGCCCTATGAGGACAAAGATGTTTATTCTGTTTCCTGACGTAAGCCCAGTACTTAATACGGGGGCTGGCACAGAGAACACACTCGGAGTATTTATCACATTATGAATATCTTCTAGAAAGAGTCCTGTGGAAAACTTCTTTCCCAGACTCAGACAAGAAATCCTCAGGGCAATCCCAACACACAGAACAAGCCTGCCAGTTGCATTAGGATCATCTGTTTACAACTTTCCAGCTCTCTGGGCAAAGTCCTTATCCCAGCTTCACTATTTTTTATGCTTAGCATGGAAAGTTTACAAAACAGACACAATCCAACATCTACCGAGTGTTCAGGCCAAACCACACCCAAGTTCACATTTTCAGCCCCTGCTCATCAAGGGTACTAACTCTTAGATCTCAACTTACAGAGACCCTAGGCTGGAGGGGAAAGAGACAAGCAGTGGGTATTTTTAGGCTTGGATTGCCAAAAAGGGCTTCAAGACAGAAAGTCACCTGGCCTGAGTGACATGGCAGGTCAGCAGGGGGCACTAGGAGACTTGGTTGTTTGCTCCCTGCCTTTCCTCATCCTCTTCCCCCCAGGCTTTCCAAAATGCAGATCAACATGGATCCTCTTTGTCCCCTCTCTGCTCCATGCAATTCCCCACCCATCAAGGCTCAAAGATGCTGCTCATATCAGTCCGTCCCCACTTGGGTCCACTGCCCTATTCAGGTCCCCTTACCTCTAGATAATTATAACTGTTCCCCAGCCCACCAGTGGCTCCAGAAGGCGGAATGCCTTTCTTCACCTCCAGCAAATAGCTACTCTTTCCTCAAAGACCAAATCAGAGGTCATCTATCTTCCTGATCCCCACCTCCCCCATTTTCCCCATGATGTTTGAATTAGTTTCTCCTTAACAAAAAGTTGGAAATAATCTGAAAGTCATTGGAGAAGAGTTAAGTAAATTCTGGTATAGCCATACAATAGCCTATTTTTAAAAAAAAAGATTTTATTTATTCATTTGACAAGAGAGAAGTCACAAGTAGGCAGGCAGAGGCGGGGGTTGGGGGTTGGGGAAGCAGGTTCCCTGCTGAGCAGGGAGCCCAATGGGGGCCCCATCCCAGGACCCCAGGAATCATGACCTGAGCTGAAGGCAGAGGCTTAACCCACTGAGCCACCCAGGCGCCCCTACAGTAGTCTATTGTATAGCTATTAAAATAGCCTCTTTATACATTTCTGATAACAAATGGGGAAATGAGCAGGAACAATACTGAGTAAAAAGGAAGTAATAAATTTGCATGACAACCTGGTCTGAGCTCTGTTAAAAAAAAAAAGTTAGAAGAAAGATTGGAAGGAAGTATGACAAAATGTCAACAGTGTCAACAACACTTCTAAGTGGCAGGATTATGCATCTTGGTTTCGTTACCTTCCCCCTCCCCCACCACCTTGCTGCTCTGTGTTTCCCAAAATTTGTCAGCAAAAAGCATGTCATAATTTTCAAAAGAAGAAAAAAGGTTATTTAAAGAAATTATTTATTGTTCCCTTCTATCTTCTCACTGCATCATAAAGTCATTTGAATGCATCTGTCTCCCCCATCAGACTGAGAACCTCTTAAAGGTAGAGACTAGGTTGGGTTATTAATTGCGGTAGAGACTAGGTTGGGTTATTAATTGCATCCAAAATCCACTCCTAGCACTTGGTAGGGGAGAGCGGAGGGAAGAGCCAAGACCTCAGCAGTGCAAGCTGATGAGTGGCCCAGAGCTCAGAGCACTCCGGATCCATTTACCTGCAGCCTCTATGTCTCCTACTTGTCCCCAAGGATGTCATGGGAGACCTGGCTTGGAACCCTGGAGAGACAGCATGGTGGGGGCAGGCAGAGCACAGACCCAGCTCCATTACTTCCTAGCACTGTACCTTAGGCATACGTCTTTGTCTCAGTTTCCCCATCAGTTAAGTAGGTGGAAAGTAAGAACAACACACCTGTAGGACAGGCCTGAGAAATATACACGAAAATGTCAGCACAGTACAGTGCACACGGCTGATGACTGCGCTTGGGTCTACGGAACGTGACCGCTTGAGACCCAGCTAACTTTTTACCTGAATGAGACCTTTTTGGTTGTAAACAGATTCAAGCCCAATTCAAGTTAAACAAAGAAAATGAATTTATGGGCTCAGGTAGAAGTGAACAGCAGAGCTGGATTTGAGGCCTCCCACACGGTCATTGGGACACTGTGGCTCTCGGGCGTGCGGGCGTGCGGGCGTGCGGGCGTGCGGGCGTGCGGGCGTGTGTGTATTTGTGTGTCCGCGCACGCGCGCCTGTGCTTGACCTCATTCTCAGGTGGTCTTGCCTCCTAGCGACAATGGCAGAGTACCTCTTTCTCAAGAATTCTCAAAAGTTTTGTTTCAGGACTGCCTCTGATTGGCCCGTCCGGGTCACGTTCCCATCTCTGAGCCAATCATTGTGGCCAGGAAATGCAGTGCTCCAATTGGCCAGGCCTAGATCAGGGCCCTCCCCTGGAGCCAGGGGGTGGAGTCAGCCCCTTCTGAACCAAAAATATCGACAGGGAAGCGGGGTGAGCCTTTTAAGGAAAATGCAATGTCCAGAAGAACCAGGAGAGAGTGCCGGGAAGGAAAAACCCTCAGATG